TTTCCCCAACTGAGAATCAAATTTCAGGATCTCCTACCTCGATCAAAAAGTCTCCAGTTCTCAGGCCAGCTTGCCATGCTACTCCCCCTTCATCCACAGATTCCAAGTACTGCAAAGCAGGAAAGGCTGGAGTTGGGGTGAATTCTTCAATTGGTGTGTCAGCTTTAAAAATAAATACCACATTAAAAAAAGAAAGTTATGGAGTGCTTGCAAATACCACTTGACTAGAGGCCTAATATTGGCCATTCAAACTGATGGTTAAAAAAATGGTGGGTGCTAAAAGTAAGAGGACTCTGCCTCAGAGGATATCAAGATGCTGGGAACAGAGTGCAATCTCTCTGCAATAGCAATCCACAGGTCTTCAATTCAGAGAGAAAAAGACATGCTTCTTTACTGACACAAACCGAATCAAGCTGTATGAGGCAATAGCTGGATTCTGAGTATTCCAGGATATTCAGCATTAGTTCAAGTAACCCTTTTGTATGCCTAGCAAAGTGCTTGTAACTCTGGCAACATCCAACTGAAAATGAATTATGCACTCTAGCCGGAAGAGAGCATCCGGCCGAACTGGGGGGATGGGGTGGGGGGGAAAGGATGAAAAAGATCAAACTGAATTTTTCTTCTAGCTTAAAATGTGTATTACAAAGAAGACAAGAGAAGAAATCACTTTTTAGGAAAGGAGGCACAGCAGGCCCTGTAACAACCCTCTCCCTCTCTCTGTCACGTACACGTAGAAGCAGAAAAGTCCTTGGGTCTTTCACCTGACGTGCCCTCGCTGTTACAGAGAAAATCTGGGGACAATTGTTGGGCTTACGCAGAGGGAGTAACCTCTACTCGATGCACAGACAACTCGTGCCAATGGGTTAGCTAAAAGGCAGTGCTATTGGTTTTCCCAGTACAACTCCAAAAATTTTTATTTAGCTAAAATTAGAACAGCTTTTACAGCACTGAAAATCTACGGTGGCACTGGTTTAGGGGTGGGGGAACAGGGAGAGCAAAAATGAGGTCCCAAGAATGAAGATATGGAATAATTTTCATGCTCAAGCAAGGCAAGGGACAACCCATGTAAAATGAGGGGGAGCAAGAGATGGGACATACCATCATATATATTTTTTTTAAATACAAAAGGAGCAAACTGGACTGAAAGTTAAAGAGCAAAGCATTAAATAGAATGCTTTTTTTAACTCTTAAGGATGCCATTATTATAGATTTTAGTCTACAGAAAAGTAACATGCAGTTTAACATATGAACAGCTTTTAAAATGAGCACACTACAGGCCATGCAACATACGTGCAGCTTCTGAAGATATAAAAAAAGATCATATTTTCATACTAAAACTGCACCAATGTCACCTTGCAGAAGATCCACACCTATTTTAAACAAAACATCACTCTCTTGTCTATTTCTATTCGTAGACCTATTTAAGTAGACTGACATTTGAAATATAGTTGCCCATTAACTCAGGAAAGCAGGTTTTATAAGGAAAGCAGGTTTCCCATAGTTAGGTAAACTGCATAACAAAACAGATTAATGACAAAATATTACATATACCAACACAATAAAAATACAGGCAAAACTTTCTCCCCCCCAAAACGATTCTACAGTGCTTCTCCTATGTAAAAATGCAAACTGCTTCAGAGAGAAGCCACTAAAATCCGTCTGAGTAGTATAGCATACAGAGAATCCTGTTGTCTAGCAACCAAGTGCACCAAGAATAATTCCTGCTTATATTCCGAGATGTATAAATTTCTTCATGCCAGTGCACATCACACGCACACACACACACAAGCACATACCTTTTGCCCCTCTGAGCACAAATCCAAATCCTTCATTGTCTTTTTTCTGCAGGACCACTGCCTTTTCTTCTATTATGCAGTCACTGTAGAGAGAATTCCGAGGATAGCGACCATTATTACATCCCTTCATCACCACTGTAGTAGCTGCTCCTCCAGTGTGCAGGTTCATCATCATCACAGCCCGTTAATCAAATAATATTGCAGTAACCAAGCATGGGAAAATATAGAACAAATAGTAGCAAGGGGAAGACAAAGACTAAGCTTAATGATAAAAGAGAACATGACAAAGCAACTTAAAGGGAATAAAAAAGGCAGAGAGGAAAAAGAAAGAAGAAGAAATCATGCATGGTGGTTTGTGTTCTATATGAATGACTGAATGAACATGTGATCATGTAATCTGTGGGCTAGCTAGGACTCTAAAAGGAAAAAAAGTAAGTGAACTGAACGACAGTATCATTAATAAACTCCTCAATCGTGGATGTACCAGATGCATCTTCTAGTGAAGCCAAAATGAAACCAACCAGAAGAAAAATGAGGCAGCATTTTAAATTTAAAGATAATAAATTATGATTTTATATTAGCTAACTAAAAGGCACAAATATATTCTGAAAGCTATGCCTTGCATCAAAAGCCCTTTTTCAATCCTATTGAATGTTGCATGCTGCAAGAATCCCACATGATCATCTGACAGCCTACAATGCTAACAACGTGCAGCTGCCTTGGCGTCATCAAGCACAAATTTCCACAGCATCAAGAATCTGCATAATTGAAATAGTAACAAGGCATGCACAATCAGGAAAACACATTTCTAAGGAATATTTCCCATCTTCCGATAAACAATTAATATTTTAAAACAAGGAAATGCTGTAAAGGACTATTTATGTAAGCAGTATGTCCTTAAAGAGAAAGTAGCCTTAGGAATCTTACTGTCATTGGCTAAGAAAAAAGTAGACGGTGGATGAAGAAAATGCATAAAATCCACATCAAAATGGGACCTTTCATATACAGAGAACAATCTGTGAAAGCCTTAAGTTGTTTAGTGCCTTTCATTAAACATTAGGTTACTAAAAATCAGCTCAAAGTAAAAAAAAAAAAAAAAAAAAAAAAAATTTGAATGCTCTTTTTTAGGTATAAAACCATTACACAGCACAAGTTGCAAGACATTCTTCTGAATAAAGACAGTGTCAGGGGTTAAGTAGTCGTGAATTGTAAGCACTGCAAAACACGTTGCTAGGTTGGCTTTAAAATACCTACAAAACTATTTAAGACAGAAAGAAGTACAAGCAAGTTTTCTTTTCTTTTCTTAATTTTTTACTAGCCAACTATTGTTACCACTGGTCTTGTACAGAATCTAGTCACTAAAGCATTCAATACAATAAGAGACCGGATCTGCCTCAGTGCCATTAATAATCCAGAAGGGGAGGAGGAAACTAATTAAAGAAAAATTGGCGTGACCTTTTTATTTAAAGCTCTGAGCAAAGACAAGGCTGATGATATCAGGACCAATGGACAGCCTCCAAACCCCAGATCTTTCATGTATCACACACTACCCTTTTGGTGACTTTCCAACTCTTAACTGAGGGCTGCAACTTCATGTTACTGCTAAAGTGATGATGTAATTATGTCTTCCAAACTACAAAGTATTTAAACACCACTGAACGGAATAACACATGAATTAAAGCTACCACAATGGTGACTTTCTGAGCAACAGATGACCCCGTAAGCATCAACGGCTTTTGAATACTGTCTCTCACCTTACTAATATTTACTGTACAATTCAGACATTATCTTTTCTTACAATTAATACCCCTGCTACGGAAAGGAAATAATAAGAAATAAGAAGAAATAAGAAATAATAAGAAAATCTTTCTTGAGAAAGCCAAACACAGGCATATAGGGTGGGATGGAATATGCAACGCGGTAGCCCGTACTGTAGCGCTGAAGCCCTCCACCAATGTCCTAATATTCCAGAAACTGACTGAACCTACAAGCATACTGGCTTATTTTCTTCATTTCACCATTCACATTTTCGAGGTAGGGCTCCATACTTACCCACTGAAGAGTCAACAGTAAAGCTGTCTCCAGCCTTTTTCTTAATACACGGTTGACTTAAGAAAACCCATTTCCTTCAAGTTTCCTTGTAAACGATCAATAGCCTAATAGAAGTTAGAAGGCTACTTCTGAGAACCTAATCATAGAAAGTGTTCCAAAGAACAACTCTCCTCTACCCAAATCCCACTCTCATCTCAATTCATTAATATAAAGAATTCAGAAGCCTATTAGCCTCATCAAACCTCGCTCTGATTCTTTCATTTCTGTTGACAAAACCAAACAAATCCATAATATCACTCCTTAAAAAGCTGAAGACTGAAGTTCCAAAAGCAGCACTCGGAAAACTCAGGATCAATTCACCTGATCAACATTAGGCATCTACACCTAAAAACAAGGCATCTAAGGTCCTTTCACAGTCAGCTCATGAAATGCATTTTCAAATTTTGCTCTCTTCATCCTAATAGAGAGGTCTATGGCTGTTCAGATTGAAAGTATGAAAACCACCTACGATCACCTTTTCACGCACAGCTTGTTTATTGCATAAACTACCCAGTTATAAACTTCAGTTTAGATATTGAAAGTGGGAATGCTAAATTGCCAAAATTTTATGAAGTTTTGCGTTCTACACGCAACAAGGAAGGTAAAGGGAAGAAGTGGCACAACATGACCTTTTTGGCAACAAAATATACAAACTGATCTCTCTAACTTGACAAATACAGCTTACTAGTATGCTGTTTCAGTCATGTACTACATAAGGAAAACTCCATCACAGCCTGTAAAGCAAAAATGCAGGTTTGAAAAAATCAGATGTGTAGCCATTTCTTCTCATTTACGTGCTAGGAGAAGGAGAGCTGCAATAATCTTATGGCATGAGCAGTTTAAAGTTGTTCAAAGCAATCATAGAAAGCAAATTGATTCTCTCCACAGACCCCAGAGCTGCAGAGCTAAGAACTAGCACCAGGAAAAGGATGGAAAACAAACATGCACACACAAATGAACCAAACTCGCAACCTCCACCTCCCAGCAAACTCACTTTGCATCCCCAAGAGAAGGGGGCAGAACAGGGGAAAAGAAGCTTAACCTCGGACTGTTTGCAGTATTGCTTTTCGTTTACTTTGCCACGACAGGGTTCTCTTATCTCAGTGTCAGACTGGACCTCTTCACCGAAGGCATGCTGAAGGTCTGTTCACAGTCTACCTGGTCTTGGCAGGCAAAGTGGTGCCAAATGTAAAAGCAGGTCAAAATTTCTCACAATGAGCCTTCTTGGCAGCATTTCTTTGATCCTGAAGGTGTTGTAAATACTTAGCAACAGAACGCATATAGGGTATAGCTACCAGTGACAAATAAAGCGACATTACATTACAAGCCTGTTCAGAGGTCTGAGCTCAAGCAAGAGGAAGAGGCATTTCTTCACAGATGCTTTGTCTGGCTCTAGATGAGGCTGAGCAGTCCCTGCTATCTGCGATACACCAAATTTCAATAGGTAAGATTAAAGTCCATTTCTGACCCATCTCAAACTGAAATTAAACAGCGTCCATTTCAGAGACGAGTTTTCAGAATATTACTAGTTCCATATTATAGTAATAAAATGAGTAATTTTAAAATCAATAGCTCATTACTTAAATAGGGCACACATTACTTTGACTTTGGGCTGTATAAGTCCAAGATTCATTGCATACAAAGTTAAATGCAAAATACATCCTATCGAGTGCAGAATATTTCTGCACGAAGTACAATCTTAAATGTAAAAACTTCAGGCCAAAAAAAAAAGTCAATCTAAGTATCTCTTTTACTTTATGCAAACACTAAATATTAGAAAACATACTTGTTCATCGGTTTGCGTAGCTTCTCTAACACTTTAAGGATCAAGAATTTTGCAGAGCTGTTAAGAGTTTCTGTAATTTTACAGACTTAACAATGGAGAAAGGAAATAAAGGGATTTACTCATGGCAGACAGACACCTGAGCTTTGAACTCAGCACTGTTATGTTCAACTTAATAACCATCATTTGTGTAGACTTTTCAAGACAGCAAGAATTTCTACTTTCCTAATAGCCCATTAAGACAATACTTGAGGAAGGAAGTAGAATTGTCAAGTCCTTCATAAAGACCTTTATGAAGAAACTAAGGTTGAAGCACAGGTTCCTGATGGAGGCAATCCATGAAACCTAGCTTCCATTTCACAACTAGAATAACTACCTTATTTTAAAGCATGACTTACTCCAAAAGTTAAAATATTAAATTACAGAGATGGAAACTATCAGAACCATAGAATATGTTTAGGCAAGTTTGCATTGCATATATCATTGCTGATCTCAATCTGAAAAAACCGCACGTAGTGTATACTCCATTGGAAATGATCATCATTATCTGGAAGCAAAAATGGCTATCTGTATTTTGTCAATCTCTCCCTAAGGCAGAGAAAAAATGAATTGAAATAGAAATTATCTTCCTCATTCTCTCCAATTGTGCATCCCCTAGAAATTTAATCTAAGTCTAACCTTTTCAGATTTAACAAACTGGACTACGACCTGCCAAGGCAGAAACATTATCTAACAGACCACACGTGAGAGTCAAACAACCAGAGTTACAACCAAATGAGTAGCCTTCTCAGCCTACAAACCCTTCAGTCAGATGGTTTGCTCTATCCTTGAGTGAGCAGTTATTCTCTCCAAGTTCACTTCTTTCAGTTGGCCAAGTAAATCCAAATCTCTTCGTTAGATGCTTTTATATCCTCTCCTCGGTATTCTTGCAATTTCAATCTTTTTGAAAGATCTACTGAATTTATAGCTAGCTACATGTTAGAAAGATCAAATCACAGCCCAACAATAAAGGAAGTGCCTTTTTTGTACTTTGCCAGATGCAATAAAACAATATCTAAACCATTCCATAAATTTATACACAATGCCTGAAAGCAGTCACACTAATTGCTTTCAGGCTGAGATAGTCAATCTATGGTGGTTACATTCAACCCCATAGAAGGGCACTCACGAAATCTATTCAAGAGAAGCTCTTTACCGCATGTTCCAACA